TTGACTGTCACCTACGCCAGACACAGGCAGAGTTGGTGATTGATAAATGGTCCTTTTTCACTCTAGTCTCCAATCATGTTAATCCTTCTTTATTTATTTACTTAAATCCTGTACGCATGGTGGTTGGTTAGTCATCGAGTGTGGAAGTGACTTGTTATTTGGGGAATACTTCCGGTAACCTGTCCATTCCCTTCCGTGCGTATTGTCTACGCCACTCTACAGCTCTCAACATATCTGCCAGCAAAGAAAAGGAGCTAATTATCTCCCATGCGTTGCCAAAATGTTCGTTACTTTGTGTATTGTTATAGTTAAGTGCCAAAAGAGGTGCGTGAGAACATCTATTTAGAGGGCGCAAAAAGGTAGCTCTGTGGAGTCATATTTATGTGCAAGAACACCGCCCCGAAAGCCCCTCCGACTTCAAAATGCTGAAATCCGATTTGTTCAAATTGTGACTCGACAAGTTAAAAGTTTATAATTGGATAGTTCTTTTTTTTCTAAAGTGTGGTGGTGCTTCGGTGGCAAATGATTTATACCCTTCTGTCAACGTCTTCGCAACTTGAAAGCAATCTGCAAAAAGTAGCCAAGTTCAGACAGTCGGGCAAATTAATCCATTGTTGAAAATCGCCTGCCACAACAAGTGGTTCTGGTGGGTTTGGAATAAAATAGCCTTTTATGCAAGATAAAATACCACAAATAGCCTTCACTTGTGAACAAAATATTCCAATTATGGAATATTTTTTGTGAATAACAGCAAACCTGCCCTATCAATCTTCAAGAGTGTTTTAGTAAATGTTTAGGATGGCTTGTCGTGCTGTCTGTTAGTTGAGACAGCAGATGAAAGTATACGAAATACAAGATTTCGCTACAAACTTCCGACCCCTTTATGGGCATAGGAGTAAACAGACGAGTGGGAAAACATCGGCTCAACTCAACCCGAAGTTTTACTGTCGTTTTACTCCATAAACTTTGTTAGTGCGCGACATTTATGAGAACTGCGTGTTTAAACTGGTACCTGGGAAGGCTTCAACGGCCTACACACGCATACATCTCACCTGATCCAAGATACGTTGGAGTCCATTTTATGCTAACCCTAACCCTTAGCGCAACGAATGTTCCGTTTAACTAGGAGCGCATGGTATTCGATCTCTGAATGAATGTCGTTCTGTGAAGTGAATGCAAAATGGTCGACGTTAACGTCACTGTATGGGAGCACAACGAAGGATGTAGGCAGAGCACATTGGACGCGTTTTGGTCTGATGACGAGAGCGTCATTTTAAAGCCTAACGAGGAACACAGATCGATCCTTGAACCATTTTTAACCTTAAAAATACCACCCACCCTGTCTAGGATGGCCAATGGGTGATAAGAAACCCTCTTGAGGGACACTAGGCTTTTGCGTTCCTACCTCCCCAGCAATAAGAATGAGTGGGAATCATTTACCATACTTTTTTTAAATTTCAACTGTTTTTTTGATTGTGCTAGATAAGCTGGCTTTAATAAGCCACTCACGCATACTTTGTGGAGGGGAATTGACTCATGTACACGGAGGTCTGTTGGCGGAGTTTCGTGGACCGAGTACAAGCGAGATACCACAAAGGCTCTCCCACACAGACCTCTTTAGAAGATATTGAACTTGTTTAAACGGAACAATTAGCCTGAAAGTTTGTCAACCGCTTCTCCCACTGAGGGATTAAAACGATTCACGAAGAGAAACCTTTTTTTGTTTTCCTGAAGTGTACGCTGTTGTGCATTGTAGAAATCCAACGTTTGTTTCATCATCTCTCTGGGTGTGGAAAACTGGAAGCAAAGTTAATTCTGCGATTTCAAGAAACCGCCACGATGATTGATGACCTTCGGATGTGCTGGGCCAGGGCTACTGGGTGTTACCCAGTTGGAAAAAAAATTCACTCACCAGCCTTGGATAAGCTTGTGGAACAAGGTGGCGCAGTCGCCAAATCGGAGGTGCAAAAAACCAGCCAAAATGTGGAGAGAGAGAATTGAGCAGAAACGAAACTTACAGGGAATGGCATTTTATCAGATATACATGAAAAAGTCAAGCTTTTCGTTTGTTGAAAAACTAGACTGAAAAAGTCAGTCCTTGGCTAAATATTAAGTGCTTCTAAGATGTCCAATGCCACGATTTTTGTTGGATTCTGTTGCTAGAGGAGGGTCGAAGCGCAACTGGTAGGGAAATTAAGAAAAAAAGTACGAATAAAACACGCGGCAACTTCAAATTTCCGTTGACAGTAGCCCCTGAAGAAAAAGAACAGACGACTTCAAAGTTGTTGAGAAGACAAAAGGCCCTCGCGACGTGGGTTTGCAGTGAACGATTTGCCTTCATGCGGCTGATTCAAAAATCATTCCCCTCTGTATTGTATTGTTAAGCTGGTTCAGAGGGAAATGTGAGTTTAGGATTACGACGGCAGTGGTGTGGCACGGTAGAGCACGACGTACCCAAGGCAGATCTTCATAATTAAAGTGTCAGGTGCGAAAAATGGGGTATGTTGACCAATGCTGTCTGAGTAATCTTGTAAAATTACAATTGCCAGAACGACAAATAAATGAAACTGGTGGCGTAGGGAAGGACGCTGTTAAAATGTAAAGCTGACGAGTTGGAATATGAGACGATCGGGTTAGTGTACGTGAATCTACACGCATCGCTGGAGCAGGAAATCTCCTTTGACCTACTCCAACTGACCGACAAAAAGAAGTCTTATCGCGGTAGAAATGAGAGCCAGGTGAAGTGTTTTAGCTCACGTGATGCTTCACTGTTCACTAACTAGCGTGAAACTCCACAAAGAACGAGACTGATTGCCTGTTAAAATCGAATCAGAAGACGATTTAAATTGTACAACAGTATCGGACTTTAAAGACATGCGAGAACAGAAATTTTTCGATGTGATCAAGAGGATGGCATGGAAGTTGTTTGCTAAGAAGCTTCCACGAAAGCAGAAATGGCCAGAATTCACAAAAAAGGTATAAAAGTTGGGCTGGTTTTTCTGCAAGCAACGTTTTGATGTTTGTAAGTGCTGTGTGCCAAGACCAGACAAATTTAACGTGAGTTGAAACACAAGAAGACTTCGCCATCTGAGTCAAATGTTCAAGTTCAAGGACACTAGTCGCTAGGATATTGGCTGGCGACCATTTCTCTTATTGTCACTATTTACCGAGAATGATGAGTCAGTTGCATCAAAATCCGAACATACTTTCGTAACAGTCGATACAATCGATCGGGTTGTCACTGTACACTAAGTTATCGATTTATGACGATTCAATATACCAAATGCAATTTATCGAGACGAAGTATATTTTTGAATCGGTTAAATCAATGTCAAAGTGAGATGTATAACCACCAACGAGAAATTCTTCTTGAATGATTTCCTCCTCGTTCACTTTCCTCATTAAGTAACTGCCACCGTGCTTTCGCGAATTCGAAAAAGAACGATGTTTGTTGTAGTGGCTAGGTTAGCAAAATAATTTACCTCTTTCAGCATTGAGATCCTTGAAGTAGAGCATTCAGGAGGAAAATGCGCTTCTTGTTGTCACTAACACGTGCAACATCCAAACCAATTTAAGGAAAAGCCGAGTTCCGGGCGCATCTTTGTGGACGACTCCTGTGTCACGGATGTCACTTGAAAACATCCGGAATTAAGTGCAAATGCAAACCGTTGTTCTGGACAACGTACGTCTTTACCGGTCTACGTAGGCCTCGCCTCCCTGGTCAGCACAAGAATTCCACGTCTAATCTACGTAATTAGGCAAACATCGCACATTTCAGCGCGCCCCAGTGAAACGAATTTTAGTGAAGAGCGTCAAAACAATGGTTTAGTTTACCCTGGACGCATCTAATTGTCACGTTTTGGTGAAATGCCTGGATTACGCGTGCAACTCGACACTGGTCTTCCTCTCAACCTTGCAAATTTCGTTTAGTGTTTTTCCGTTGAAGAGTGCGCTTCGACAAGACATTAGCGATTCATCCCGAGGGCGCATGCGGCTGTCATCCCAGCGTGCGTACACAAAAACGTCACAACCACGACAAAAACCGCCACCTCCGCCGCCACCGCCGCCGCTGCCACCGCAAAGGGCACACGTTTTCGTTGACGTCGCCAGCCCCCCTTCCTTCCCCCCCAATCTGGCCACTGCCAAATGGTGACGGCGTGGAATGGGGGAGAGGAGTGGGTACGACGAGAGTCACCACGTCTGTTGGGAGGTGCGTGGTTTGTCGAATTGCGTACTTATGATTTGAGGCCGTATCGCAAGCTGGCAGAAGCAACGCAAAACGAAGTAGGAAAGTGGAGTGAAACTGCAACGATTAGCCACCTAGACACAATTGGCTAGACTGCATTCTGACGGAAATCGACCAAGACAACGCAGACGGCTTCCAGAGCAGGTCATTTGCACCCTCGCACTGCACCGTGATTGGAGGGCGACTGTGGTAAACCAGAGGCCGGTTCTCTTCGCACTATTACAATACAACAAGCCATGCTGCGGAGTTGTTAATTGCTTAAACTTCAGGTGTTCCAGTTTTTGCTCAAACCCCTGGCTGAGACAGCAAAACCTGCCCCACAAACTCTTGTTTAGTCTTGGGGATTTGCATCAACATACCTGGTAAAAATGCAACAGGTTCAATCCAAGCACACATTAATAATTTACAGGAATCATCGATGTGGATATCAAGACACTACCATCCAGAGTGAAACGCCTGGGCAAGTACATCTTATTCAGCCGTATTCACAGTACTCGCTGTTTTTTATTCTTGATTGCAGAGCATGGCGTTAGTGAACAACGGGCGGCAGTCAGTAGTTAGTGCAGGTGCTAAAGAAAGGCGTTTGCAGGGGGCATTTGGGTGGATGCATGCGTTTATTTACACAGCTCACCCCCACCCACATGCGCGTTGTTTCTTTGTGCTGTTTTCAACATAAAATGTTACATAAAAAGAATGCACTGAAGATAGGTGTTGGTGCCTGTGATGTACTGTAATGCATGAGTAGTCGGTAGCTTCACTCATCGGTGACGCGCAAGTACATCCCAAGCGCGAACAGCACCTCTTCACGAAAACGGTGAACCTCATAAGATGTGGAGTTGACTTCGCGTTCAGGGTGAGCCTCGTGTAGATCACGAAGACATGAAAGTCTTTGTGGTTGAGTGTGAAATTGCTGAGAGTGATTGGCGGCCGAGGGATTGAAGGGGATCGATATGGTCAGCGTGATCTGATATCGACTCTCACAATTAGGGTTGGTAATTTATTACGTCATTCGATATCGTTTACTGACAGCAGTGAACGACGCCATGTGTGTGTGCGTGTGCGGTGTCAGATGGTCGAGCATCCAGTGTTAGGAACGTTTATGGTCTTTTACTTGGAGTGGAATGGACCTGAGGATCAATTTTAACCAATTTAAACAAATGTTACGAATGGCGGAGAGTAAAGGATAAATAACGAGTGGCAACACAACAGGGGACTCATTTGCTCACGCGAGGCAACGGAAATTCGTCTACGGCTACAAGTTTTCGACTACAAGAACATCGTTCACCTAGTGGACTGAAGTGTATCGTGGCAAAGGGCGAGAACGCATCCGACGAGTTACGAAACGCCTAGATCCTTGGAAGACCAATCTCACAAAACGATGGCACGTGTGATCTAATCAATGAACCGAAAAACAGCTACCGTGTGAGCTCTTTAAATTACTTGCTAACACCAGCGCTTGGAGTATGATAAAGTATCACAGAGTCTGCCTAGTCCGGACGACGGCAAAAGGCCTAATCTTGGGTAATCCTCCTGCCTAAAGATATATATTAAGCCATTTACTATTTTAATTCACAAACAGATCCGACTAGGCAGGACACATAAAATTGCTACTGTTTATTTTCAGTAGAGAAGCTTAAAGCTGAAACCTCAGGATAACATGGCCCCAACGTGCCACATCAACCACGCTAATGAGCATGGCGGCCCGGCATATGCGCGCAACACTACCACCACTCAACCGTTTCATCCCCAATGTTCACACAAATCCCCTTCTGTAATCCATAATAAAACCTATCCATTAAACGCGTTTACCTGTTGCGTAAAAGAGGAATCTTCAAGGAATTGCGGACATTGGCAAACGTTAAGGGCTACTGCTTGTCCACGGTCTACAGCGCAACGTGTACATGTGAATTGACACGACCCAAGTAAACTAAATTTGCGTTTGAATAATTGAGACTGTCGCATTAGATTACGTTACCCCAAAAATTACATTAAATGAATAGTGACATGAATTTACTACATCCTAGGCCGGTTTAAATGGAAATTTTTTACCCCCATCAAATGCGCTTCTTCGATATTATGTCTATCGTCCGTACTTTGTAGGACCAAGGCAGTCGGACCAATCATACTCGGCGTCATTCACCATCTATGAATCAGCAACAGACAAACCCTACAACCACTTGCTTGGCAAAACCTGCAAGACATTTTGTAGTGTTGGGGAACAAATGGGGTGAAGTTGCGTACCAAACACAGCAGAGCAAGATGCGACAAAGTGACGGAAAACATCTTCATGCAGATTCTCTTCAATGACAAGCAGCTACACTGCACTAGACGGCCAAAAAGGTGTTTGAAACTACCAATTGCATAAATTTTACACAACTGCTGTAAACTACAAGGTCCGTTATGTCAGCCGTCAGGGCATGAACAGACAAATTTTACATTATACCGGACGTGGACATATACGCAAGCTAAACATCGCCCGCACACTTGCATAAGATGCAAAAAATTGGTAAAAAATCTTATCAGTGCACAACTAAGGTTAACCCCGAAGTAAGGAAGCCACCAAAGAGCTAGTTAAGGAGAGAAATAATTGAACCCTCATTACTGCATATAGAACATAATCGACTCTGATAACATAACGACAAGTTAGAAAAATAACATTCCAAAGAGTAATGTAACGTTGAGTCAAGACCCGTAACACGCCAAAGAACAACCATAAAGGCAAGAAAAGCAACTTATTTAATCACCTGTAAGACTTTATTATGAAGCAACTTCAATGCATATTTACAACTTTAGCTTGGTTCTCCGCCAATGGCGCCTCTTCGCATTGTACCTAGTACGAATAAATAAAGGCAAACGGGATTACCGGATACGGTTGTCGGTACGAGCACGTGCCCAATATGGCAGAGTGCGGTTTTGCTTCTGCTTTTTGCCGAGCTTCGTCTTGAATCTGAAAGACTTATGGGCTCCCTACATATCCATATGTTAAATACCTACACAGCAACATACCATGCTAAAAGCCGATTCTAAATGCGCGCGGTCAGTTCTTCTTGTCGATACTAACAAAACATTGCCAAAAACAAATAATTCTGAACTTAACTTATCACTGTCTAAAAATATGCTTAAAAACGCTTGTTTAAAGGTAAATAAATGATTGCTTGTATTGGATAAAGGGCACAAAAAAACCTTTCAAATGACAGGGTTTAATCGCTTAAAATCTATGGTCTGTAATCTTAAATAAAATGCATGCTAAGTGCATTGATAAAATTCAACTTAATAGCTGAATCTAATGTATACAAGCCAGAAGGTCATGTCTGATATTTCAAGTGTGATTAATCACTGTGAAGGCACAAGTAATTTGTGTAAGTATGAATTGACAGGAACCAATTAAACTCTATTTCCTTTCTGAATGAAATAAACTATCCCATTGAATTACATTATAATAAAAATAACTATGAAAACTTTATACTTAACGCCTAATAACATATAATTGCCATATCCTAGAGGTTTAAATAAAAATGTATCACAACGATGAAGTCCGTCGCCAAATAATTTACAGCACCACTGCCTAATCACAGAGCCTTTACAAAAATTCGAGCCATCCTATTAATGCAAACATGTATGCGTATCTTCACTATCCCTGTTTCCATTTATGTGTTATTTTTTACTTCAGCAAGTACAAGCAGTCTGTAGACGTCAAGAACCACGTAAGCAATCCGAGTCCCTGAATTTCTACACAAAACAGCAACTTAACATAGTCAGGCATCGCTCTTTAAATGATATGTTCCATTCGTGTTGCTGTTTTGTTCCACAGCAGTCAAATGGACCGTTTTTTTAATTTATTTATGTGAAAATTGGTACAACAGTCAAGCAATCTGTTTAGATGCACATCATAAAACGTCACTGATCTGCCAAAAGACAACAATTTTTTTTTAATTCGATGCTGACAATTTTATCTTGAGTTCTTAGTCAACCAAACTTAGGGTTGCTGACACAAAATATTTTTGTTCATAAATTAAGTGATGTTGAACATTAACATCAATTATTGGATTCTGATAACTGTTGCTTAGTAGTTAAACTGATACGTGATCTTCACAGTGGTTAAACGAAATTGAGGATAACCCTGAGACTTTGCAAACTAAGTTTCGGAAATCAGCCGTTTGTTTACCTAATCGTTTTGATTACGTACACATTTGGCGGCTCTTGTGAAAGATGTGGCGTTTCGTTGCTATTTTACTGTCCACGTTCATTTTTAAATCGGATGCCTATTTTGTGACTCTTGATGCTAATGCTGAAGAATGTTTCTATGATAGAGCAAAACCTGGTGATAGACTTACTCTGTTCTTCGAGGTATCAGTTGGTGGCTTCTATGATATCAACGTCAAAGTATATTTAATTTTTTCATTTCATTACCTTTGGAATAGTTTACAGCACCTGATGGTAAAGTCCTTTATTCCGTGGAAAAGGAATCAAGTGGGCACTTTTCCCTAACAGCTAATATGGAGGGGAAGTACACGTACTGTTTTGACAACAAAATGAGCACAGTGACGCCTAAAACTGTGCTTTTCGCCCTCGAAAAAGGGGGTGACAATATCAAAAAGGAGGAGGGAATTTCACGTAAGCCTGTTTATATAAAAAATCACTGGATTTGCTAGCCGAGCAAAATAAGCTTATTGATATGGTGAATGAACTTTCCAACGCGGTTCTTAATGCCAAACACGAGATGGAATATCTCGAAGTTCGTGAAAATCTACATCGTGCCAGTATGTCTTTTTATAAATTTTCTTAACAATCTTAGTTAATGAAAATACCAACTCGCGAGTTGTAATGTGGGCCGCTTTTGAGGCCGTCATTATCGTTGGAATGAGTATGGGGCAAGTTTACTACCTGAAACGTTTCTTCGAGGTTCGCCGTATGGTTTAGCGATGTATACAATCTTCAGCATCGTCATGTACATCTACTGTTCTGTGTGTAAAGCTTTGCTTTCTACTGACCATGCTAACTCTGTTGTCCTTCCTTGAATCGTCCCCAATTGTTTTGTTGAAAAGCCAACTCTGCTCATTATGGTGCGGCCTTATTTTCGATTTATACAGTTGCCAAAATAGATCTTGTTTATGAATCCTTGTTTTGATCTGATGTGTTAACTAATCACAGTCTTGAGTTATTGTTTCTAAGAGCTCGCACGGAAGTCTCTATTACCATACCTAAACTTGCAACATACTTTAAACCATTTTCCGTCTGTCTGGTCTTTTGATTTTGTGCGATTCTTGTTAGATTAACCCCTTTGTTGTTGCCTTGAGTTTTTGATTATTCTCCCACCGTTTCGTGGTCGCAAAGTTGTCAACTTTTATGCTTTTGTCACCAAGTGCAGAACTTTGAGCAAGTGTCTGACTGAGGCTTTCGGCGTCTGTAATTGTCTTACTACACTGCTTCCAACCTATTACGTTGTTGGATATTCAACAAATGAGGTCGCGCTTCACATTAATTCAATTAGTCATTTGCAATTGATTCTGAAATGATTTAATTAAAGCCCAATTCCGCTCCTAGTTTTCTTCCTCGGTGGTGAAATTCTCCCCTGCAAATTTGGGTATTCTTTTCTACTGTGAAAATTTTCTTCCACGATCTCATTAACGTGCGACGAAACTGTCAACTGCGCTATAGTTACTATCAACTATCTATGCTTTTATCGCTTACACGCTAAACCATGCCACTTTGCTTCACCCATGACTACTTGTCGTGTTGTAGGGGCTAAAATTTGACGCGGTATGCACGTCTTAGAACAGAGAAAGCTGCCGACAAGGTGCGAGTTGATCGGATCACTAGATGCATTTCGTGCGTGGTTCTGACCCATTATGAGTGAGGGGCAGTCGTGTGAGGTGTGTGGGGAGACGCGTGTCGGCACGAATATATTGATTCGGTAATTGTCGCTTGTCAATTCCTGTAGAAATGCAGCCATATAAGTTGTCTTCTCGAGGCAGTTCAAAGCTTACTTTCTTAGGTATTCTTCAGCTGAAATAGCACCATATGTACACCGCTTGAACAAGGACATTTTTACCAGAAAAATTGTGGCTTACTGAAACATATTCAGTAGTTACAATCAGAATCCCGAGCGGGTATTTAAACTCCAATGCTCGGGAGTGTGAACGTGTAGATGGAAAGGTTAATATAAAACCAAGAGATAGTTCAAACCATTGAGGGACCAGCTAAGCGATCTCTTGAGAACGTCGATTATTTACGCTTGGTTGGGACTTTTATTGCTTACAGCTAATTCAACGAGCTAGGAACTCAGCCAATCCTCTGTGTGCGCGTTATGAGGAAGACCAGTGACCAATCAGAGATTTGGGTGTGGCGTCTTTTACACACGTCTGATAACTCGGAGGAAGTTTCTGAGTTGGGATACCGCATCCCCATATTTCTCTTTCGAAGAAGTTTACAAAACTCTGAAAAAAAACTTTAATAATGACGCTGATGATGATTACATGAGGTCGCGGGTCGTTCGGGTGTTTGCTGACCAAGCCCAACATGAAACCACGAATTTGCCAAGAAGACGACAGAAAATTATTGAATCCAATGAAAAATATTCTAAAGTAGTAATGTTGGCTCCTCAGCCAAAACTAAAAGATCAAAATCTCTTTCTTACCTACTCAATTTGACATTCTGGCAGCTAAAGACCGCGATTTTACGCGATTGCCCCTTGAAATCACTCGTCTGGCGTGTTATTACTTGACAACCCACTTAGGCGTCAGTCGCTCCTTTCACGTTAGTCAGTTCGTGCGTTATCTGTTGTTTTAAAAAAAAGCTACGGTGGAAGTACACACACAAACTGTTGGAAGAGTTTGCTTTACACGACAAAATTATCCAGAGTTACGGCCAAACTCTGTCAAAATCGGCTGCTTAAACGGAACAGGACCTTGGGTATGTCGGCGGTGTGTCGAAAACCACCTCTAAATTCAACAACAAGACACGATGGCAGTGTTCTTTGAAATCCAATCAACTCCATTTCCAAGGTGATTGACGGGTCTGTGACCGCACTCAGTCTGATTAAGTTGTCGGCAAACTGGACATTCATCGGAGTGGGTTGCTAAACCCGCTTCGACACCGCATTCAGTGAGAGGGATCAACATCACTGCGTCATAGTCCCAAGACCCATAGATCGTCATTACGAGAGCTGCGGTTCCAATAGCTGTGTAATCTATCACTATCGGTTTCTGGGGTCGTTGGGTGTCTGCGTTGGCAGGGTTTGAGACCAGCGCCTTGCCTCAAATCGTTTGTGTGAATTATTTGGCTGGTCGTGAGATAACTGCTGCAGTTTAAAGTGAGCTGGGACCCGCTAGGGTAGTTTTGTTGGGGAATAATGAACAGCAATTCTAAACGCTTTTTCATCGGATTTATTTCGATATGGTTTTTTTCTTTGTTTTTGTTGTAGCTTGGTTGATAATTTATTTAGTTCTTGGGTCTTTTTGGAGTTGGATGGTTTGGCTTTGATTCTTTCCTCTTTTTTAATGACGTTATTTTCCGGCGCTTTGCCTTACTGAGTTTTCTTCTGTTCTGTCAGTTGCCGGTTTTTTTTAATTTCGACGGTTTTTAATTTGTACTTCTTGGTTTTTCTTGAAACGTTTGATCTGTTTTCCTTTGCACTCTGGTTTCTGGCAGGAATTGTTTGTTCATTTCTTACTTTAAGAGCTAAGCATGTTCTGCAAAATTATTATCACTTTGTACGCTTATTCGTCCGCCACGGCTGAGGAACAATAAGGCCCATTAAATGGCAGTTCTTGGGTTTATAAAACCATCTCCGCACTCCACATAACTACGCAGTTTTGGGATGAAAACCAGTATGGAATCAAGCGGAACCTAAATGCAACAATGGGAATTCAGATTAGGACTTATTTTGTCAAGGAGAGGAACGGAGCTGCTCTCAGTGGCAAAAAACCCGGCTGACAGTTAGAGCTGGAATCTGTTGTCATTTTTTGCAATATGGTGCAATAAACGAATGAGTTACGCATCTGTTGGAGTCCCTGCGACCGGAAAAACTAGTGTGAAATAGTTTACACAAGCGTCGGTGTTTTAACCATGGAAAGTTTTTGGTTTGTTTTTTTTGGTTTATGGGTTAATCGTGTGTTTTCTAGTAGGAGTTGGTTGTTTTTTTTGTTCAGTGTTGTAATGCAGTTTCCTGTTCTGTTTCCTGGTCGTTATCTAGAAATTGTCATGCACATGTCGTTATCTTCTGTTTCTACTTTGATTGTCTTCAAGTTCGTGTGATCTGACTTAAGTTTGGCAAGAACAGGCGGAAATGTTGATCAACCAAAGACGTGACTGCACAAAACGCCTCACGCCAGTACATAATAGGAACGTGTTTTGGACAGGCTGAAGGCGAAGAAGAGTCGCCAAGGTTTTGCCAAAGATCTGCGGATATTCACGAGCAAAATACGCGCCAGTGGCGCATTTTGAATTGCTTGTTTAAACAAAACCACACGCCTTTACGAGCTGCTTATATGACTGACCAACCGCATTGATCAGAACTGATACGACAACCGCTGGAAGACGGCTCGCTTTCTTAAAATTCACTGATAATTTTGGAAAAGTGCTTGTGTAGAGCCGAAGCGCGTTTCCTGTCTTTGTTCACCTCTGGGTGAGTTGTACTTCAACGGTAAAACTTTTGTGGTGGTTATCTAAAGCTTTTCCACACCTGTTGACAATCGTCAAGGTACTATCCATGCATGTAATTCTCTAAAGCTTCAAATTTTTAAATGGTATTGATTTCGTTTCTGACAAGACCCGTGTTAACATCACTAGACCAGATCTACTTGCAAACCCAAACAAAGCCCACGAACTTCAGCCCCTATGAATTGTCGTGTCCACTGAATCGGCATTTGGCCGACGCCTTGTTCGAGACACCACTAACAGTCGTTATATTCATCACGTCAGAGCACAAAAACAGCCGCAGGCTTCTGGAAACTCGCATTACTTGTCCCCCGTGTGGAGACGCTGAGTCACACCACCGTGAAACATTTTGTCTTTCGCCCCAGCTAAATGGACAGCTTAGTCACAAAGCGCTACAACTTTTTGTGTCTGGATGCTTATTCACAAAATTGCTTTGTCTGGCCGTTTTTACGTGTGGGCACAACACGACAACAGGCAATGCAGGAGCTCCACCGTTTACGACGTCGCTACAACTTGGTACTAATCGACACTCTCCTATCGATTGATTTCAAAATCCAGACATATTATCTACCCCGTTGCATTGCCCACCGCATCAGCCAAGTACTGAGACTGCAGCATTCTTTCCTCAATTTGTAAGCTGGCTAAATTTAGCCGAATATGCCTCCCAACTTGGATTTAATGAATCAAGTATGAGTCAGCGGCTGTGGCAAGGAGTAAACTAACTTAAAAGTCGTATTCAGCGCTGACGAGCGCCTGGACGGTTAGGCAGCAACCGATGTGCAATCGTGTGCGTAAACTTGTTCACCGTACTTTTTAAGGGATTGCTTTAGCTCCTCGTTCCCACACACCGCTAATGTCCACGGTTCACACAGGCACCTCAGTAAACACACCCACGCCCACACACGCACACCATAATGACACACGCGGTGACTCGGTGGTTGCGTCCACGACATTGCATAGTCAAAGTTATAAAGTGGTTTCAGAAAAGTGGGGTGCGTACATGTAGCAAATGCACTCTGGTCTCTCCAGCGGTCCTATTCTAGTAAACGCCAGCTCACAACCGTCACCCCTGTCTGTCGACTCTCTTCCAGGCGCTTTTCGTGCCTGTTCGGCGCCCTGGTAACGCGGAGACAGGTGCTCGTCTGTGGTGCACCCTACAACACAGACCAAATAATTAACGACTGTCTCAGTCTGCTGCGAACTAAAGCTGCGAAAGCCAGTGGTCACCTGGCACCGTCCTGAGTATCTAAGGCCTAGAGGTTAATTCAGGCGACTTTAGAAATTACCGCCAAAACCAGATTCCCCTTCAAGTTTAAACAAAACAATTTAGAAAAGCCTAGTTGGTCCAGAGCTTTAAAGAGAGTAATGCGGAGATCATGCAGAAAATTGGCCGAGTTAAAACAAAACTTGTTGACGAAGAATCTGCGAGGTGACGGGGTGAGACATAAATGTGCTTTACATGTATCAGCGTCTACAATTCTCCGAAGTTTGTCGAAGACCAGCGGAGGTCGGACCTTGATTAGAGATTCAAGGATCTATTAACCAAAAGTAATTAAAAAAACAGTAAAGCCAAGTACATTTACGATCATCTTCCCTTGAAGTGTGGGAGAAATGGACCCAGTTAGCTATCTAGAAGGTGCTGTTTGTAATCTACGCTGTTTTAACTCCCAAAGCCCCCATCAGTGACTTGTGGGAATGGCCCACTTGAACACATTTTTTCATGACCTTCACGAAGTACCGTGTATATTCTTGGGATTTAAGTAATCAAAGCATTAGCAGTTGTCAAACCTCTTGAATGACTGCTAAGTAAAAACGCTGAACACGAATTATAGGTGGTACAAAGGTACAGTAAAGGCAGCTATACGGCCACACTGGCCAGTAACGTGAACAGATAGCATGGCGACTGATACAGTGGTGTTTTACTTTTAAGATCTCGCAGAATGATGCTGGCTGGATTTCTCGATTTGTACCTGAAAGGTTTTTGAAGGAATCTGAAGGAAAGGGAGTGAAAAGGAGCGTTATTTTAAAGTACAAAAGACGAACCAGATCACTTGCTGTCTGAAAAAAAACGGCTTAAATGACACTGACAAATGCCTCACAAATGTGTGCTAAACAGCACTGCAGCAAAAGGCCATACAGTCGGTTTAATCACATTGTAAACAATCGCGCCATCCGCAGTGTGCTGCTGTCGAAGGCGAGGAACCAAACAAAGCACCTTAACACCTAATATGTAGAATTGACAGCGTGAAATTCGAAATCCGTTCCCCGGTTAGGTTTATCTGCGATAAACTGACCCTGAATGCAGCCTTTTAATGCCAGGAAAAATCATTCCACTACGAAGCCTCTGTAGGTCGTGGCAGCGTCAGTCTTGTGACTTCCTTTTTAAAACATCATGACCAAGTAGTTGTTGTCTAGATGGTTTCACTGAATGATCTAAATGAGCTTTCCACATAACTGTGCCTTTTAAAGTACCCGTGTTCCCCGGTGTAAACATCGACGAAACCAAAGATTATCTTTAAAGGGTTTTCATAAACGTGGTAACTTGTCATAAGTACTGTCAATTTGTCTACAACAACTAACCACTGGTACCGTCGTCTGACGTAGTGTAGATGCAAATCGCCTAAAATTTCACATCAAAAGTATTGATTTTGAAGATGCCTGATTCGTCAGCGTTTTGTTTTGAGTTCAATGGCGAGCGTCTCGTGTCTTAGTAGTACTAGTGCAATAAAACTACAGAAGACGTTCTATTCATCTGATACGCAGTGGCTCATTTTAAACGCCCCCAGTAAAATGGGGATGTTAAGTTTAATATCGTAACCATTATGAATTTAGACGTGTCTACGCATACCGATCAATTACACAGCAGCCATTTAAATCGAAGGACGAAGATCGTCACTTCTCAGCTGTCTTTTCTCCGTTTCGTTGAAATTCCTGATGCTTCAAAGGCCTTTGAAGTGCCAGACTTTCTAGAAAATTATCAGACACGAACCCTTTTACTCCAAGACCTAAGCATGTCCTACAAAATTATCTTCTATTTGTCCGCTTTTTCGTATGTCGCGGCTGAGGAAGAATAAGACCCATTACATGGTAGTTCTTGAGTTTATAAAACCATCTCCGCACTCCACATAACTACACAGTTTTAGGGCAAAAGATCAGTATGCAATCAAACGGGATCTAAAGGCAACGATGGGAGTTCAGATTAGGACATGTTTTCGTCAAGGAGAGGAACGAAGCTGATTTCAAGTGGTGGCAACGGAGCTGCTCTCAGTGGCAAAAAACCAGGCTGACAAGGAGCCAGAGTTGGAACCTGCTGCCATTTTTTGCAACATGGTGCAATAAACGAATGAGTTACGCATCTGTTGGAGTCCCTGCGACCGGAAAAACTAGTTTGAAGTAGTTTATACAGGCGTCGATGTTTTAACCATGGAAAGTTTTGGTTTATCTTCGACTTCAACGTGGCAGTTACGTGGAGAAATGTTTAGTTTCAGTCGGAATCGCCTGATGATATCGAGTGGTCAGGCTACTGAGAGTTAATAAGGCAAAGTAACCACGTCAGTTACCTGAAACCTACAAGTCGAATGAGTTTCATGCAAAACAACAGCTTTGGAAAACCCTGGTGATTCACGTTAATTACACCCAGCCGTCGCAGTCTCAGACGCATCGGCCTCCCCTTCTAGGCGTTTCAAGCACTTTTTGGCCACGCCCCTGCACACGTGCCCGCCCCAGCTCTCGTTCGACGCAGCCTGCCTGGTTCACCCTAATTCTATTGGCTGACAGCCCTCATCACTCGTTTCTCTACTGTGCCTTAGTTGGTGTGCACGGCGGACACGCACCCCACACAAGCACAATGCGCTGAGCCACCTAGTAAGCGGATGTCTCTCCCGTCTCCGTTATTTGTGCAGAGTAACTCGTGTTGAAACAATCTGGCGATCCGAGTGTGGTCTGAGGCTGGCCAAGCAACGCTTTCTAGTGAAGGCTGATAACTAATCGATGAGTCGATAAGTCCCGATCAAAAAAATATTTACGACTCGGGAACTAAAGACAAAGATTAAGGCACGACTTCGGATTGGAATTCGGACCCTAAACGTTGAGCGGTTTCTGAAAGTTGATTAACTTTAAGCCATCCTGTAATATGAAATCACAATTGAATGAAGGATTTGTGAAAAAGATAACGCTCACTCTAGTAGTCTAGACGTTTCGCGTGTCTCCTTCCAAATATCATTGGTTGACACGAGTGTGGAGTAACTTTAATAGCACCTATGAAGAGTGCGTGGTCCTGGGATTCAAATTGTAGTCGACTTGGCTGGCACAAATGGAATTTATTTGAAATTGAAGAGGCCAGAGAACCAAGATTAGTCTTTTCTGAGTTCGGAAACTAATGAGACTTAATTTGGAATTAAGGAAACACGTGATTATGGGAAACAAATCACGATTTAAATGTAAAATATTCGCACGAAGCTACACATTTCTGTATCAAAATGCACTCCTAATTATTTCCTACAACCGTCTCCGAACATTTTACAAGTCTTTGAATTCCGCCAGACAAAATCGTAAGGTAGTTTTGACACATTTCGTAGAATCAAGTGGTCTGTTGTTCAAATTATTTCACAGATAAAGCAACAGACGGGAATCTGAATGATCGAGCTCAGGGAGATTCCGTGAGTCCTTCTCTAAGACTTTCACTTTAACCTGCCTTAGTTTTATAGCGTCGTGTTGAAAGACAATGCCTCCAAATGCTTTCCCATGAGGAGACACGATTAGTTTGTCCTATTCTGGTAAAACGTACTTAGAACAGTGAAGTGTGTTAAAATTGTCAACATTTAATCCCTCAACAGTCTCCTCAATGGCATTTCATTGGTACTTAAATCCAGTAAATCAGGGATAAAGTTACCATCAATGCCGGAAGGTTATCCAGAACGACGATTATCGGTCTGATTGAAGTTACCATTTTCGCAATCGACTGAACCGTTGCTTACCTGTCCCAGGAATGGGTGCCCAATCCAAGTAATTGCCTTTGAACATTTCTGATGCAGTTCCAACACACGTTCCTATCGTAATTTCCTACATTTCATTCTGCATTCATAATATCAAATTGGCACACAACCTAATTTAAGAAATAATTTTGTAGAATGTTTTTAAGAGAGAAGCATCAGCACAGGCGACGGTTCATACTTCTGACGTCCATGAAAATCGGGGACAAATATTTGCGATCACCCCTAACGCCTAATTGGGTATCCCCATCTCGGATGCGCACGTGCGTGCACACCGACATCGCGTCCTGTGATTGGTCAGGCTGTCTAACAAAAACACCCGCCGTGGCCACCAGGCCTCAATTGTGCGTGTGTGTAATGGCCGTTGGAACGCTCAGGCCCGGACGCGCGAGAATGCGCTGGCTCTGGTCGCTTCCACTTCTCATCTCTGCTCTGCTGTCGGTCTGCCAGGCCGAGCCTCGTCACTACCAAGTGAATTTGCGTCTTCGAGAGAATAGTCCTCTGCTGGAGTTGCGTTGTCCCCTCTACCACGCGGCTCCAGGCGATGTCTTGGTGTTCTCGGACATGCACCAAAAGGCGGTGATGAGGGTGGCCCTGCGGGAGGCGACGCCGGCACCTGTGCTGGCTTTGCCCACGGAAAGTCTGAACAAATATGCCAAAGCATTTATCTTCTACTGCGAGGTGTTGGAAGCCAAGACATTGAGTTTGGTGTCGAAAACCACTTTCATTGTGCAAAGGCTATCTCCAACGAAGATTAAAGGTGGGTGTAATGTAACTTTCTCAAAAAGCAGTGTTGTGGAAATTACAAAGGGGGAACAACAGTCAATAAGCCGTATTTAATCCCATCAATTTGCCGTTATCTAGCAGAGTAAATAGGCTTTAAAACATGATGTATTTTTCGGCCTTGATTCCATCAAGTGAGGCGTTGTATTCTATTCCAGTGAGTTGGTGGCGCAATAAGGGCTGTAAGTCGCAATCCCATGATGGTGTAACCGCTGCATTCGTAGACGCTAAACGCTCTGATGGTAATTCATGCAGTAAACGTTCCAAGGAGTGAAGGTAAATGAGAATTTTTTGAATGATCATGGCCTTAGTCAACTTCCTTCTCCCGTAGTTCCTGTCTACGACACATTTCACTACGAGCCTGAGGAGGTGGATGTTCTCAGGGTGAAACTTGGCGAGACACTGCAGGTCCCCTGTCCGACGAAGGCCGCAAAAGTCGGGTGGTTCAGAGCCGCTGGAGAACAGGTCCTTCACGCAGACTCGAAAACAGCCGTGGAGGTTTTGCATTTTGCGTCAGTCAAACCCAGTGACTTAGGGGTCTACTACTGCGGTGCACATCCAACCACGGGGAGTCACACCTCACTGACTGTCAAGAAATTCATTGTCGTTGGAAATGAAAGTACGTGGCCTTGTGATTGGCTTGTTTCGGGTTTCATTCATTACAAGACGAGTTGAATAAATACGCAGTAATTTATGATTGTGAAATCTTTCAATTGCCTGGAATAGCATTATTGAAAAGCAACCGTGTAACTACCTCTGCTAATTCGCTTATTTTAGTGCTATTGTTGACGTTAAAATTTTCCTGAGATGGTGTAGATTTGGTTGAAATTTCAAAAATATTTCTGGAAGGCGGATGATGATTCGCTATCGTGTTTTCTTTCATGCTATTTAAGCCACAAGAAGCAATGTTCGTTGGCCAGTCATGTTCATTCGGTTGATTTTTCTCGTAGACAAAAGCGGAATAATCTGAGATTTTGTTCCTGTTTCAGCTTTAATCAGCCCCCGTATTTACCAAGGAACTTAATTTTTGGTGGATCTGAATGTATAAAATTTAGGAACAATTAGGTAGCGGTTTTCCTGGGCATTTTCGCCACACCTCAGCATTCCCAGTTTATTCAAATGTATATTTTTTAATGAGATTAAATTATTAGAATGAATACGTACATCTGCCTTGAAACAGACTCCGTGCTGACGAAGATGGCGAAAATGAATGTGACAGGAGACCACGAAGTGGTCCACGTCTGCCCACAACCGACGGACAGGCCGAGTCCCTCGGACCTGGTCATCTGGGAGCGACCGCTGGGGGTCGTGCACCTGATCTACTCTGGAAAACGTCAGATCACACGCCAGACACCCGCTGACTCCGAGAAGGCATTCCACTGCTCCGTCGAGGGATCGAGTGTTCAGCGCGCCCTCAGAAGCACTGACGCTCCGCTGGTTCGAGCTCGACGTAGCATAGCAAGTATGCGATTGTGTGTCCTAGCGAGTTACTGTAGTCAAGCTAAACGATGCTTAAGACTGGCTCTCAGCTCCGTTGTCGTGAAGTCTTTGAATCCGAAGTCCGATGCCACTGTTTTGTAATGAGTTTCCCAATTATTTAATTTTAAAAGAAAGCAGGTTTGCAAGGCCTGAGTAGGAGGACTGTCTCATGTCACTAGTAATTATTTAATTACGTAGTCAATGTTGAATCCGCGTTCACATTATTTTGGTATATTTAAAAATCTTGACCACATTCAGGTGAAATTCAACTAAGCTTGAAGCGCGCGGCTGTAATAACCTTTCGGGATGTGTAAATGTCTGGGTTACTCGAAGCTTATCTTTAACAAAAGAAACGAATTTTCAGTAAATTCATTCGTTTTGACCCCGTCATTTCTAAGCCTAAACCCTACTAACGGCCTTTCCAAACACGCTGGATCCATGAGTTGGAATCGCCTGATGGCTGAAATATCACTTAGGTTGAAGAAAACCTTGTTCAACGTTACCATGACGAGGAAGCATCGTGTAGAAAACTGAATCGTGGACAATCGATTCCAACTGTAAGATGCACACGTATAGAATGGAGGTACCAGTTCACGAAATCCCGTTTCTAACATCAAGTTATTTTGCTCCCTCTCTCTCTTTGTGTGGACGATATCGAGTGTTTCCATACATGTTTACGCTGTCTTTTTCTAGGCATCGATGTTATGTTTATGCGACGTGCTGCAGTCACTGTCATGTGTATAGTAAACACATCCATAAGTAGGTTGAGCCCTCTGTCTACAATCAGCGCACGTTTCGGCTCCAGATCGAGATTTTTCGTGTTATTTTTGTGGTGCTGGGTTAGGCCTTATTGATCATATCGGCACCACCTCGTGCAGGTTCAAGAGGCGACGTATACGCACGTGTCGCTTAATGGCTAGACCCGATTGTCTGTCATCGTTTCTTGTGTACAACTATGGTTGTGTGTAGTTATAAAACGCAGGGAGATTTGCACATACGAGTGCTTGCAAAGTTGGGTTGTCAGAGTAGGCGTCGACAGCGGTTGCAGTCGATCCACTGCAGCATTTTCTCAGGGAGAAAATTACCATTTATGAGATGAACATTTTTGGAAACTAATCGTTTTGAGTTTATTCTAGGTCTAAATGACCTCGGTATTCAGGAAGGTGGGCAGAAGAGATTTCACAATTCTTTCTTGTTCCAGATCTGCCCGTAACTAAGAGAAAGCCACCAAATAACGGTACCAGATCCCTTGTTGACGCTAGAACCAACCTTCCCACGCTAATACAAGAGCGAGACCAGAGCTCGTGTGTAGAGATTTAGTCACGTCAGCCACGTGCGAGTGAGTTGTCAAAAGTGAAACCAATTCAAGTCAAGATTGACCTTGACCTGATAAAAGCGTAATAAAACACATGTTAGGGAATTAGTGTAAATAGTGCCAGAAACTAACGATGAGCAATCTTGGGGTATCGCGGATCCCCAACAGGAACCGACAGAGCACCCCTGTTTCAAGGCTCCATCATGCTTTGAACACAGAACGAGGGTGATGGCACTCGTGATTTTGCATTTCCCAAACCAGTTTCCCGGGCTATGAGCGGACTGTTGAATGACCCATCGCCTACGTCCGTGTATATGCCATAACACATGAGACGGTAGCTCGTGCATCTAACGAGCAGACTAGCGTTTTGTTTTCGCACAATCTGGTTTAACGATGCTGTTTAAATCACGGCTTGGATTGACTGAAATACCAACGCGTTTGACGCCCTTTTCAGAACCGCAGTTCATCTTGCGAGAAGTGGGCCCAGGTGCCAAAACAGCCACCGTTGAGTGTAGATGGGAAGGAGGCGAGAATGTGCGCTATGAATGGCTCCACGACGGTCAAGGTGTCATCGGTACAGAACCGCAACAGGAGGTCAACTTGGCCACTATGCTGGAACGCGGTGCTTCGCATCCATCCGATGACGGCGAACGCTACATTTGCGCGGTCTTCGACGCCGACTCTGGCGAAAAGTTAAGCGAAAACACTTTCACCGGTGTGACCAAATTCAAACAGCCAGAACTTAATTCTGGTGAGTCAGTCTCCCCTTGGTCCCACATCAGAATGCTCCCAAACTCGACTTTAAGACTCCTTTTTGTAATCTGGATGGCCATTAGTTGATCGATTACACAGCTAGGGGTTGCTACCTTCAGTTTTATGAGAGTGAAGTCGTGTAGCGAAGTTGCGTTAGCAGAATCAGCAGAATTTATTTCTTTATTCGTCTGGCCTTGATTAGCCGTAGATGAAATTAACTGTCGAAATAGTTACTTTATTTCACAAACTTTTGCAACTTCACATTTAGTTGAACTAACAGAGGAGCCGGACAGCATTACTATGCTTTATCCCGACGAACAATTGGAAATTCACTGCGACATCCCGTCATCGGCTCCTTTCCGCGCAAGAGATGTGAGTCGCAATCGTCTTAATTTCTCACCTTGTTGAAATTAGCTGAGGTCCTTCAGTGATATCTGCTTTGCCAAGAGCCACTTCTAGTTACTGTCTCAAAATATGTCAACTGGTTGCTATTTGTGGCAGTTAACCATGAATTCAAAATGGCATGGTTGATAAGGAAATAGTCAGCCCAGATTCTGACCGAACCGCTGAATTCCCATCAGGAATGTGTTTGAGTTTGCTTGTCTTTTTCGCTTTCTGCAATTTTAATGAGGGTGAGTTTGACTCCAAAGACCGCTTGTTTCCTTCCCTCAGGTCGACTGGTACATTAATGGTAAGAAGCTGGGGAGAGTAGCGAATCGTGTGGACACCGGCAAGTCCAGTATCCTTGGCTACAACGAAATGACCGCTGACAGGTCGGGGACCTATGCCTGCCGCTTTGGGGACACTGTTCTCTCCACTCACCTCTTAGTTCGGGAGCGTAAGTTGCTTTAGAGATGACACAGTTGCCGTCTGCTTGCCACCTTTCCACTGCCTACAGTCTTACTCGATTGGCATCTCTCTTCATGGTGCATTACCCAGGTTCGAAGTTGCGGGCCCTTTTGAACACAAATGTTTGTTTGACGCCAGTGCCAATCACTGATTGAGCCTGGTTAATTTTTTGGCAAATCAAGTAGCAGAGAAACAAAATAAGCCTGTGCTGTTTACGATGCCTGCAAACACTCACGTGTCTTGAAATTCACCGTTCTACTTTCACCGCCTCAAGATCTGGGACTTGAAACTCGGATTAATCTCGCTGATTGGTCCAGGACTCGTTGAGTGGTGGGGGAAATGTCCATCGTAACTAGGGATGTTTTACAACCCAGAAGGGTGTAGTCACGTCCTACTTAACGATTTTATCTCTTGTAATTTCCAGGCACCGTCTCAATCAACATTGAACCGAAAGAGGACCACAAATCAAGCGGAATCAATGATGCGGCTGAATTCCACTGTCGTGTCAGCGGCGTAAAAAATGGCGGCAAAGATGTAAGCCGGCATTCGTCCCTGCTAGCGGTTTTGGTCGAAAAATTTATATTAGTAGTGCCTCAGCCCGTTTTGCTTGATTTTGCGGGGATTTTGAAACAATCTATCAAGTCAAGGTCAAGGTGGCGTAGTTTTTACAACTTCGCCGCCTTGGCTTTCATGTCTGTCCAACGCCATAATTACTGACAAATTCACGAATCCTCTTCGTCTTTAATTAAGATGCATGTTCGACACGAAACTTTGTTCAAGTCGTAACGCGTAATATGCAAATTCGGGCTTGCGGTGTTTTCAAAGTCGTCCGCAGTAGCAGCTTAGGTGAATTGTTTTCACGTGTTCCATTGTAGATCCAGTGGAGTTTTATTCCAGAAGGCTCTACTGACGAGGAGAGCCTTCCTTGGGATGTGGAAACGGACACGCCAGCTGCGGTACCTGCCACGAGCTTCATCTACATCAGGAATCCTGAAAAACGTCACGAAGGACAGTACATCTGTCGCATTCGACAGCAAATGGACGTGGCCAGACTCATAGTTGAAGACAAAAGTAAGCATTTTCCCCTGCAATTCGCCTTAGAATGTAGTGAATAGTTGTGATGCTCTTGTGTTTGTCCACCCTAAGTGATTCAAAAGTGAGTGAATCTAGATCTTCAATGATGTGTAGACTCTAATCGTGTATGAAAAAGTGATGTAGCATTCAAGACCATTTTGTTTGTGTCTTTGTGTTGTTTAATCGCACTCAACATTCGTTGACATTCTTGCTTTGTATTGTTATTGTTTTTCAAAGAAATTTGGTACAAATTATAAACTACTTGCGAAATAGTGGCCATCTTAAAGTCATCATTAACGATTTACTGAACGTAAAAGCGGCCAGCAAACGCCATGCTGCAATCACAGGCATATCTTAGGGGACATCATTGGATATGTGGGAGCCCAATTTTGTTGAAAGTTGTTCTGTGACTTTAATGAAACATTCTCTGCTGGCAAAAATGGATAAAGCTTGCTAAGAAGTGTGTTACAATCTGGAAGGTTGGCTAAATCACCTGTTTAGATAAACTTGAGAAATGTAAACGCAATTCAACTGAAAACACGGCATTCAGTTTATGACAAGACTACCTGGCGACCACGAAATTTCCAAGATCCATGCAAGTCCAGTGGGAGTGTTGCTGTTGCCCCATTACGTCCGGGTTTTTTTCCCAACAAACGTGCCAGAGCATTGAATAAGCGAGAGACAAAAACTGTATGGGAAAAAGACACTGTACCCCAAGTAGCGCGATTGACTGGGTTAATGTGATTAACCTACAAATTTTCCTATTCCTCCTTTTCCTCCAGAAATCACCGTCAACCCCGAAGTGGTTACCGCGCGTCCTGGATCGACCGTGCGCTTCTTCTGCTCGGTGACCCTGCAAGACGGCAGGTCACCGAGGGGTGGCGTCACCAAGGTCACGTGGTTCCGCAAAGACCGTAACCTTCTGGAACCTGGCCGTGAGGAGATCATCACGGGCACCAGTGCCAGCAACGCAGCAGTTCTGGTGGTCAAACACGTGGACCGGAACTCCAACGATGTCGTCTATGTCTGCTCTGACGGCGTACGTTTCTACTGTTTGTGTTTATGATTCTAGTTTTGCCCTCTTAGGAAATAAACCAGTGGTTGTAAGCAGAACCAACTGACACCACTGTCAAAATATATGTACCCTAATACTTAATTAGGAAAAGAGTGAGTTTATGATGTTAAGATGCCGTTATTGTTACTATTTGGGCTATGTGATCACACAAGAAATACGTGACTCACTCCAAAAAGCGGATTTCTCAAATCCATTTGCGATGTTGTGCTTAAGAATAGAATCAAAAAAAGCTTGACATACAGTCCTCTCAGAGCATGAAGCTTATAGAGGAATTTCGGTGCAGGCTGTGAAAATCGGTTTGCTGAAACAAACCTACGCGACTTGTGATTCGCCAAAGTCGCAAAGTCATTAGTTTTAAACATTTTCTTTCACAGTTCCGCACGGCTGAAGCGAAGATTCTGATCCAGGAAGTTTGTGGTCCGGGGGAGAGATCGTGCGGCGGCGACAAGTGCATTGCCGAGAACCTCTTCTGCAATGGAGTTCCCGATTGTCCTGACGGTTCAGACGAAATTCCCGAACGCTGCCGTAAGTTAATCTTCTCGATCCCTTATCGGTTGCATCAAAAAAAGGAATTAGAGTAGGCATTATTCCAGACGTCAGCATGATTTCTATTGGCTGGTTGGCGTTTGAGCTGGAGAAAACCTCAACAAATGACCTACTTACCGATTGAGGCTGTCCACCAATCTGACTTTTGGAAACTTTAAGTCTCTCGGGATGTTCATTTTTCGTCCACTCTGAAGACGTTGTCGGACAAATGCATTAATTATCGCAGTACTTTTTCTAGCCGTACAAATCTGACACAGTCCCGTTGCTGGGCCGAGGGGTGAACTAGAACAAACCTTTTACACTGCGCGTTCACTTGAAGGGGTCCATCCACTTCAACTTACGTTTGCACAAATGGCCTTAGCAAGGGGAGAAATTTTTCTCTTGCATAATAAAACTTGGCACTTTGTTCAAGTAGTGATCACGTAGACAGGGGCAGAGAGATTCAAATGTCGACCGTGTTTTCTCTTCCGCGGCACTTTTTCCCTCAGCCTGATGCATGTCCGTTTAGTAAATGGTTGCACATTTGCAAATATTTTACTGCAACACAAAATGAACTGTAGAACTGTTCTGTAGCATGGCTGCTTGGCTTGAGAAAGACGTGCAATCAAGGAACAGAATGTGTCGGTAGATTCGGCCAGTTGCGTTTGGCACTAAATATCTCTATAAATCACACAACACTCCAGCAGGCAGAACTACTTCCTCTTATAGTCTTCAAATTTTGCCTGAACCGAAGATAAAGCAAAACAATCGTAACCTTTCGTTAAAGTGGTTCCAATCTACGTGAAACACACACTTAGCTTTGCGAGTTTGGGTATTTGTCGTTGAAAAAATGTGTTATGTTTGCAAGTAACAAAGAGAAACCCCTCAGATAACGGTACCAGATCCCTTGTTGACGCTAGAACCGACCTTCCCACGCTAATACAAAAACAAGACCAGAGATCATGTAGGGAGCTTTAATCGCGTCAGCCGCGTGCGGAGTGGGTTGTCAAAAGTGAAACCAATTCAAGTCAAGTTTCTGGATCAACGTCGAAGCAATTACATAGATTGGATGAACAAATTCTTCCATAATCCAGCACCTGGCACATCAACAGGTTAAGATGGTTTACAAAGGGGAAAATCAGTCAAAATTTTATGCGTTGACATGACGCGAATCTGTTGGTTAGGTGGTGATTCAAATGTACAGATGATGCGATTGCTGATTTCAAAATAACTTCAAGTTTGACATATATCATGAATGCACGTTCCAATTAAATTGTCTAGTGCGTTGCCTTAGGGTCTGACAAATGTAGAAAAGCCGAAAATAAGTCAGTTAAAAATGCGTGGTTTTGTAGGTGAGTGCGAACCAAACCAATACGCCTGTCTGGCTTTCGAAGGCAAGGAACCTTCACGATTCTGCTACCTCCGTTCGTGGCATTGTGACGGTGAAGACGACTGCGGAAACGGTTTTGACGAATCCAACTGTCCAGGTGATTTAACCACTCTTGACGCCTCGTGTTGAGAAGAAAGGATTTTAATTATTACTGTCAGGCGTAGCACGTACTCCTCTAAGGGAACATCTAACTATCAACCCTATGAGAACTTCTCTTCACAGATACTTGGTATTATGGAGTTGCCTTAGACTGGTTCTTGCAATGAGGGCTGCTTTAATGTGGAAAAAGCATGTTCACCGCCTTCCATTTGGTTCCCATACTGTGCCTATTATAAACTTTCCCATACTGCGGTGCACCATGTACCGTGTTGTGTATTCGGAAAGAATGGAACCCGAATAGAAGCTTATTTCTAAGTTCAAATTAGTCAAAGTTCATTCGGACGATATTTTGCCGTGTTTGTGGATTAGGTGATCAGCAATAGACCAGCCGTTCACATCGATTACTCAGTGAATAAAGATACGTTAAGCGATTTCCATGAACTATGCCCTATCAGGTAATGGACGTGCTGGGATGCGGCACTCAGTAGTCGGAAAAACACTTAATTTGTTATCTTTTTTCTTCAAAATACAGAGGCGGATCCCAAGACGCCGTGCAGCAATAAATTCTTCCTCTGTCCCGAAAACCATCGTCCCATTCCTCGTTCTTATCTCTGTGACACTCAAGAGGACTGCGAGCCCACAGGCAGCGACGAGACTGACTGCAGTATGTCCTGGTGTCCTTGCAAATTATGTAACGTTTTAGACAGATCATATTTAGGTCTGAATTAACCAAACGGTTAGCTTTGAAACTGCAACCAATTCACTGCGTGCCATGGTGCTGCTATCAACGCGTCGCGAACGTTACATCTGTGTTTTTACTAAGGTTGGCAATGTGCTGACAAAAGCGGCTGCACAGGGGTGTGAATGTTTACATTTAAAAAAAAATAAATATTGGGTGTGTGACGTAGGAATGTCGGCATCAGTAGTCACCAATTGGAGACGTTTTCTTACTGGCAGCGCTACTGGATGTACCTCTTTAAAGGAAGACGATGTACTCGTTGCTGTTTCAGGTCGGCCTAGCGTAATTTATCCGCCTCGAGGTCATGACGTGCTGGGAATCAAGGGCACAAATGTCACTCTGAAGTGTGTCATCCACGGCCGACCGCCGCCAGCCATTAACTGGCGCTTCAATTGGGGTCCGATCAAGACGGATGTGCCCTACGTCGAAAACACCACCGTGGAGGGCTGTGATCGAGTCACCAGCTACCTCACCCTCATCAATATCGATCCACGCGCCAGTGGAATGTACACCTGCGAAGGCGTCACCTATCAGGATCGCGTTCTCGCTCCTGATTACACCGTAAATGTTGGAGGTTAGTCTTTGCCCAGGAATTTTCGATGCTGATCACTAAAATGATCAATCGACTGTGGCAGCACAATCAACACCTTTGTTGTAACACGACAAATTTTGGTTTATGGATTCTTAGGTACTTGAAAACAAATGCAAATTGCGTCAGATGCGTGTGTTTATGTCCTCACACAACTCACAGGACAAAGACGCTCGTTAGCGTTGTTTATACAACCTACAGATGAGTAGAAAGATTTATTTTGTTTATGCTTACTGCTTCCGGTTCTCGGAGGATACGTCGCACTTCCGACTAGTTTCAAAGTAACAGATTCCGAACGTACGTTTGATTTGACGGGCAGGTAGTTCTGATCAACTTCAAAAGGCGCACGAGGTTTGTCACGGTTGATGTATAGCCTCTTCGTACCTGAAAAATTGATTGTGTGTTGCAACAATCGACTTCCCCAGGACACATGTGCCTAGAATATGCCACATCTGGTGATGGTTGTGACGATAGGATTGAAATTGTATCAAATCAAATCAAATGTCTGTGTTCGTGCTAATGACACCCCAAGTCACATTGTTTTTGTCATCTGAGGTAAAGTTATAAAGAGCAAAAGAGATTTGGTCTGCATTTAGTAAACACTAACGTGGTTTGGGTTATCTCAAATGGATCCTGTCGACGATTAGGTGAAGTGGAAAAAGCACTATTCTTCAACCTTTCGCTCATGGTGATAAAGATGTCTTTGTTGGTAATTACCATCGGGAAAATGGAAAATCATGCCGCGGTTACTACTCTTGTAGCTGGAACCTATTGTACGGAGCCCAAGTTTAACGACGCAGCTTGGAACGAGGACATGTGTCTCGACTGCTACTGCTCCGGTGTCTCTGAGGCCTGCACAAGCCTCCGTGGCTACTCATTGGCTCCTGTGAGTAAATTCAGCTTCACGGCCATGAAAATACCCAATCGCACGGGTTTACTAGTCATAGTCTAAACTAGACACCTCATCAGGGTCTTGTTGATGACCGTAGAAACTTCTAAAAAATCGATAAGATTTTGCCGTCTAGATTTTGTTAAAAAAAATTTAGAATCTGTGGTCAAAGCTCTTTCTTGGAGCCCCATCTAGCTAGATTGTTTTCCTAGGTACATGTTTAATTATTAAGACTTAGTTGTTCGTAATTTGTCCTTCCCATTGATTTTGCAAAGTACTATCGCAGCAGAGGGAGAGGTGGAGTTAAGAAATAATTTATTTCAAATGGTGTAAATGTCAAACATGAGATACCGAAGCTAATAAGAAAAAATTAACAGCTAGGAAAAGGACATTTCAGGGACACTTTTTTACAATCTTGAACCAACTATATGGCTTCTAAACTCCAGGAAATTGGATTACGAGAGTAATGATCAGTCATTTAAGCAGCTTTTTCCCCAAAATCTTGATTAGTCAAGTTCATTCACAGTGGATGTCTCGAACTGTTATTTCATATTCAAAGCGTTCATGGTGAGGATTTTTTGCGTGTGTCCATTGTAGTCTGACAAAGTGGCCAAACCGTCAATTTCCGATGTGCGTCTGGTTGCGTACGATTCTCTGGATAACGAACTTCCGGGTGAACTGCAAGGACTTCAGCTCACCGACTCGACCTTCACCATTGCAGTCCCAGACGCCAACAACACCTACTTGGAGGGGACGTTTGGCCTGACTGGAGACTGGGTAACTGATCAGTTCGGGTTAACTATAAACCGGAGGAACGTATTAGCATGTTGCAACACCAGAGGCACCCGCATATTGTGTTAATCGCAATGTATGGTTAAAAGAACAAGACGACTACTAGCCATCATTTTTATTAGTGTCCTTCCCAATGCTAATGCGTCCCCAGAATTCAGTAGCAGAACGTTATGAAGCTAATCTTCTATTTATTAAGCTTCCAAACCACTTATTTGCTAACACATCGCTAGTTACTGAATACAACGCGAAATTGTGTAGTAAACAGTTCGTGAATGTTTGTGCCTTAGAAAGCACTTGTTTGCAACACCGCATTTAATGCCGCCGGCTTTGAGTGGTTCTTTGCAGCAAAGATTCACTATCCTGAGGCAATAGAGGCACCTCAACGTGATTCGAATCCTGAACTTCGTTAACCTACGGTTCTGCTTTAGTTGCGTTGTTAGCGATTTCTTGAATGGCATTATTCCACGACACAAAAAATGGCTGGAATTGTGTCCCAATTGAAGACGATTAATGCAGTTTGTTTCTACCGACACGGTGTGCTTGAATACCTGGGAAACTGTGTTATGGTCATGTTCCGGGATTGTGTCCACCGACACGTTTCAGTGGTTGTGCTGTGAGAACTGAGTTTTTTCGCGTAAATAGATCCCACACATTAACCTAATTAATTGCTTTTAACAATTGGAGAACGAAGACGATGGAGGTTTCTGCAGTATTTTGGCCTAACTTCTTGATTCCTTCCTTCAGACAAACTCGTACAGCCTCTTTCTGAAGACGGACGTCACCTTGGTGGGCCCCATGACTGGCTACAAACCAATGGCTGCCATTGTCCTTGAGGTGGGCGGTCTTCTGTCTTTATCTTATTTTATTTTTGTTTTAATCAACGTAACTCGAAGTTTAGTTTTGGTCTGAAATGGTTTAGAATTGTCTTGAGGGTGGTACGAAGTTTAAAAAATGTACAAAAACACGAAATGCAACCTGATCCTTAATTGTTCCTACTGCGTGTCTGGTGTTTGACGTTTTCTGCACTAAAAACAACCCGGTAGAAAAGGCAGAGGAGACCCACGGCAAAGTACATGCTACCGATGGTCCTGTTTAGTGTACTTTTAGCATATCATTCCAAAGGTATTCAAAACTCTTTCGCTGTTGACAATGTCGCTAAGCAAATGGGTGCCAAAGAAGGGGGGTATTGGAACAACATGACACACGCAACCATTCAACTTCTCTTCCTCAGTTAAAATGGCGAGTATTGATTTCCCTTGTTCTAGGGTAACGGGGAGAAAATTTACTTCTGTAATCCACCGAACAAACCAGTTCTGTACACCGACGCGAGTGGCTACCAGAACGCCTTGAATGTTCGCCTAACCGAGCGCGACGGCTGGGTCACTGGAAGTCCCGATTGCGAGGGAGACTCGGTCCCCGTCACCCGCGAGCAGATGATGCGAGTGCTGGCAAACGTGGAGAAGCTCCGCTTTCGGGTGAACCTCTACGCGGGTCAGCAGGCCTACAAGCTGGAGAACTTGCGACTGGAACACGTCGTGCCAAGTGACGCCCTGGGAACGCTGCACCCGGAGATTGAGCGATGCGAATGCCCAGAGGGCTACAAGGGGTTGTCTTGTGAAGTAAGTGATGCACTCGTGTCTATCTGAAACCTTACGCTATGCGCTTGGAGCCTGGAGAACGATGAAATTGTGCGGGCATGTTACAGCTTCCGGCACACAGATGCTAAACCCCGAACGCCAATAACCGAAATCCCTTTGTTAGCACGTGATGAGCTTCTCACACTAGCATTCGGACAATAGGCATATGAGTCAAAGCCTCCCCGCAATGACTCAGTCAAAGGCCGAGTGCACATTCACATGCGCCTCTTGTATACGGCGTGGGCGGCCTTAAGAGAAGTATGTGCATGAGCCAATAGGAGGAAGGAGGGGAATATGAATACTAAAGTTAGCGTGCATAAACACAAATTAAAATGAAAAATAGAAACTTGTAAAAATCTCGAAAGACTTATTCTTGGGGATGCTGAATCCCCAACAAGGCGATTCGAGAAATGTGTCAAGAAAAAGGTAGTTGTTGCAACCGTTTACGGATTGGCGGATCCTAAACTAGCTGCCCGTAGGACGTAATGACATAATGACTACAATAAGGGTTCAATTATTCGCAGATATTTCCTTTTTAAATTACACACCTTAAATTTTGCCATTTTATTGGAGGCCAGTATCACTGCAAGTTCCAATTCTTTTGACAACAGCTTTAAAATTTAAGTCGAGGCCTCAGCTGCAATGGTAGCTTTAAAATAAGTGAGTATTACTTAAAAAGAACAGCGGTTTGATTAAATCGGCGTTCATAAAATAGCAAGTCACATGTGTTTTAAATTTTGATGACAGGGAGAGAAATGGCACGCGATCTATGCGAATTGGAATTGTTTAACTGATGCTTGGAAGTAGAAATTCTTTCGTTAACTTATATCAGGCGTTTAAGGTTGGTACTAGCATTTCCCTGGCTTGGACGTCTTCCACTGTCTTGACGTTTTATCGATTTGGTTTGACATAAAGAGGACATTGGTTCATCCACACTGTGTGTTTTGAGGTTCAGTTTATCTTCACTATTGGGCCTAATCCAAAAGCACAGTAGGTTTACTCTTGTAGATGCCTTGGTACTTGTCGGTGTTTCACACTGATGAACGTTAAGAAGACTAGAGACTAGTGCTTACTGAATTCCTCAATCTGATAGCAACGTTCTATCTGTATGGACACAGATTCCACCCAATGAAATAAGGGCCTTGGTATAGGAATCATTGAATTTAGCGAATTACCCTTGTCGTATCCAAACTTCAGAAAGCGAAGAGCGACATCCACGGATTGATTGCTCAACTCAGTGATATTGTTGTATGTGTGTGCATACATGGTCGTGCACGGACTCCACTCAATGGAATGGGTGTGGCGAGTAAGTTATGTGTAGAATTAGCGATCCGATTTTAAACATAGTTTCGCCTCTCCCTCTGTTAAGCAATGCGCGAGTGGTTACGAACACGATCCAAAGGATCCGACCAAGTGTCGCCTTGCCTGCGCTTGTGACGAATGCGACTCCGAGGGCAATTGCATCAACTGTCCTGGAAATGCAACAGGTCCTGACTGTCAGGAGTGCAAGATCGGCTTCTATCGAGCCCCCGACCAGCCCACATCTGCTCCATGCCAGCCCTGCGAGAAGTGCGGAGGCGGTCTGCCCCAGTAAGTATTCGTTGTGGGGGTCAATTAACAAAGTGGTCTGTTCGAGCTAACTTCCGATTACGACACTTCTTCTGCCACATTACTGTTGATGACAAGTAGTTATGTTGAGGGCGTTTTCCCCTCTCTACCACCATTGCCGTCATCAAAAATTCGTTTCCAGGGCTGACCTCCTGTAAATCGCCACAAAAAATCATTGTTATCCCTGGTTTATGTATCATAGACGTGTTTGACAATGAGGTAGGGGTGATGACTGTTGTACTGTCGTCAGCATCTCAAATTCACGCGCCTAGTCAAGTGATGATTTGTCCCAAATATATATATATATATATATATATATATATATATATATATATATATATGTG